TCCCCCAGCTGCTGCTGCTCCAAGTTCCGATGCGTGGAGCACGGTACAGAGTAGTACACCTCGCTCCCTCCCCCTGCTATCAACGCATCAAGCTGCCTCAGCCCCACTCCTGCTGCTGTCAGCATTGCCACCGTCTCTCTGGCTGTCAGTGCTGTCGCCAGCACCACACCAATCTCCCCGCCCGGCCCCATACCCCATACAACGCGCTCCCTTAACGTTCCCGTGTTGTGCCGGTATGCCACCTCCAGGGCGGCGCACAGAGAGTCCAGAACAGACGAACCCGCCGCCCAACAGGATCATATTCATCCACAGCAACCACGATCAGCCGCCGCCTCCTTCTCAGCCGGAGTCCCTCGAAAGCCGCTGCTGCTGCTGCTCCTGCTGCTGACCCTTTCTCCCCTGCTCCTGCTCCTCCTGCTCCTCCGTCCTCCCCTTCCTCCTGCATCCCCTGCAGCCGCCCCGACCCGCCCACCCCTTCTCGGTACCGCCCAACACTCTCTGACCCCATACCCCCAGTAAACGAGTAATTCCCCAGCCTGTTGTGAATCCCCAACGCTGCTCCTTCTCCCAGCCCCTCCCCCCCACCAAGACCACCAGAACCACCAAAACCACCAGCAGCAGCATGAGAAGGCTCAGCCGCGTAACCACTAGCGGACCGGCCGTCGGGCCGGATAACCCCGAGGTTATCGAGCATGAAAGAGAGATCCATAGAGCCTCCTTGGAAGGACCCTCCGCCCCAGAACTTGCCGTCGAAGGAGAGGCGCAGGGAGAGGTCTTGAATGTCCCGGAGGGATTCGGAGTGCAGGCCGGTGGAGGGGTGGGTGGAGGAGGTGGCGGCTGCGACCTGATCGAAGAGTGCTGCTGCCCTCCACACTGGGTGGCGCAGACGCGACTGGGCCACTCGGGTTAACAGAGAGGCGCAGTGCTGTAGAGGGTGGTGGGGAGGGGGAAATGGAGAAGTGGAAGAGGACAAGTCATAGGGATTGGAGGCCGGTAGTGGTGACTGAAGAGGCGGCAGCAGCGACCTGGTCGAAGAGTGCTGCTGCCCTCCACACTGGGTGGCGCAGACGCGACTGGGCGACTCGGGTGAGGAGTGACGCGCAGTGCTGTTGGAAATAAGGGGCAAGGGGTGAAGGGGAAGAGGAGATGTGGATTGCTCGGTAGCAGAGGCAGCGACCTGGTCGAAGAGTGCTGCTGCTGCCCTCCACACTGGGTGGCGCAGACGCGACTGGGCCACACGGGTCAGGAGTGAGGCGCAGTGCTGCTTGGGAGGAGGGGTAGGAAAAGAGGGGGGTGAGAGGGGAAGGGGCGAGGGGTGAAGTGGAGCAGAAGGGAAGAAAGATGAAATTCGGAGAGTCGAGTTGGGGGAGGTAGGGGAGGAGAAGCGGGAAGGAAAGGGGGAAAGGGAGAAGGGGAGTGATGATACACCTGAGAGACATACACCCACCAGCAAACACCAACACACACCCACTTCCACCCACCTGCGGCCAAGAGTACTTCTGAATGTTGGCCAGTGCTGACTTGTGGCAATCAGTCCAAAGGCTCTGCCACCACCAGCTGCAGCAACGCCTGAGTAACTCACCTGACGTGCCTACGAAACAGAGCGTCCAGACAACCCACCTGCAGCCACGAAAACCTGTGGATGTTGGCGAGAGCAGATTGCGGCATCGTCCACAGCGCCCCATCCGCCACCAGCTGTAGCAGCGCCTGGAAACTCTGTTGATGCGCCTACATAACCGACCATGCACCACCTGCGGCCAGACCACCCACCTGCGGCCAGACCCCACCTACACCCATTTGCACCCACCTGCGGCCAGGAGTACTTGTGAATGTTGGCCAGAGCTGACTTGCGGCAATCTGTCCACAGCGCCCTGTCCGCCACCAGCTGTAGCAACGCGGATGAAAGTGCATTGGCATCGTGAGGGTCCACCACCAGCCCGTTGCTCAGCATCTGAACAGATTGCGAGAATGCAAGGAACAGGAGACAGGAGAACGTGGCAGAGGTGAGAATGCAAGGACGCAGAAGCGCCCACTTCATCCCCCCACCAGGGCGTTGGCATCGTGGGATCCACCACCAGCCCGTAGCTCAGCATCTGAAGGAGGGGAGATGGGGAGGAGTGCGGGGCGGAGAGCGGAGGAGGCATATTAAACAATAGTAGTGCAGCAAATGAGCTCTTTTCTTCGCCACCAGCTGTAAGCAACGTGAGTGGACCCCAGGGTGTTGGCATCATGCGAAGCGGATGTACCACCGGCCCGTTGCTACAGCTGGGATCATGCAGGCCTGCACTGCAGTGAGGTGATTTTTGAGGCGCCTCAAAAACCACGCGGAGCGGATATAACCACCGGCCCGTTGCTCAGCATCTGAGCCAGGGAGGGAGAAGATAAGAAGCAGAGGGGGAGGGAAAGGTGGGAGGGGTAGGGAAGACTCATGAGGATTAGGGGATTTCTATATCAGGCCTTGGTGCTGAAAGCACGTTTTGAGAAATCTCAGAAGCGCATATTGGGGCATCATGGGCAGGCATGCCGTGCTCTTGAAGCCAAGCGGGCTAGAGAGATGCACAGAAGAACACCTGGTAACCAGGTGATAGTATTTTCACGTGGGTACCCAGAAAGCACTCACCTTCTGGATGTCACTGGGCCTCCGTTCTTTGTAGCCACCATGGGGAGGCCGTGCGCTGCTGCCTGTGATGTGTTGGAAGAGGGGCGAAATATGGCGAATGGAGAAAGGCATGAGATGAGAAGAAGGGGAGGGAAGGCAGGGGTTGGAATGGCGAGGGGAGGGCGAGTGGGAGACAGCAGGGGAGTGGGAGGATGAAAGAGAGAAGGGGAATGGAACAGAGATGGCCCCATGGAAACGGGAAGGCCGACAGGGAGAGAATACCATCTGCCCCTTCAGTTTTAAATCAAACGCTATCTTTATGTTGCATTGCATTGCATGTGAGCGGTTGCCTAACACAAAAGCAACCAAAGGAAAGAGGCCAAAGGAATGAGATTGCGATGATCATAATCAAAATTCAGGTTTGAAGTTACAGAATCAGCATCAGAATATGAGGCCGTACCTCGATGAGCGTGAGGCCGAATGGCTCCACTAGCGCTGGGTTCACAAACACGCCCTGGAGAGGAGAGGCGGGAAAAGAGGGTTGCAGAGGCTTGGGATGACAAAGGTCAGCTGGTTGAGACATCACACCGGGAGTCCACGAGTGCTGGGTTCACAAACGCACCCCAAAGAGGAGAAACAGGAGGAGGGGACACAGCACCCACACTTGACAACACCACAGCACAACTACCACCTGCCTGGATCGAGGTAGGTGTGGAGAATATCTAAGTCCTTGACATCTGTCCCTGTTCTCCTCACCTTGACTTGGCAGCGACGGCATAGATGCCCGGCAATTCAGCCTGCTTGCGGTGACCCCTTACACACGTGAAGCGAGGTTGTTTTTGAGACGTCTCAAAAACAGCCCGGCACTTCAGCCTGCTTGCAGTGACCCCTTACACACCCTACCCTGTGACGTGACCCCTTACACACCCTACCCTGTGACGTGACCCTTACGATGTTGACAGACACACTACAACATACCGCACCACACGGCACTGCACCATGCACCACACCACACAGCAACCACAGCGCACCTACCACGGGCCTGGATCCCTGTTCTGCTCACCTTAGATTTAGTAACAAGCGCATAGATTTCGGGAACTTCAAGCCTGCTTGTGGTGCTTGGGTAGGGCACCTGACCGTACAGGTCGTACTTGTCTATCAGCTTCAGCACCCGCCGCTGTCAGCACCCCCTAGCACCACGCCATGATGCACCGCACCACACTACACCACAGCTGACTTAACACAGCACACCCACCACCTGCCTCCCCTCACCTTGGACTTGGCAGCGAGGGCGTATATGTCGGGCACTTCAGCCTGCTTGTGGTGCTTGGGGTAGGCCACCTGCCCGTACAGGGTCGTACTTGTCTATCAGCTTCAGCACTGTCGTCAGCACCTCAGCGTTGCCCGCACTCATGGCGTCAATGTCGTCTCGATTGCCCATCACCAGGCACTGCAGCGCAGAGTGGGGAGGGGGAAGAGAGAGATGGGGTTAGGGGATTGTCGTTGCTTTACCTTTTAGACATGCATGCCTCTATGCATGCCTCTACCCTCCACAGCATCAATACAAAGGACCCTCTGAGGTGGGGATGGGAGGGGTTGTTGTGGAGGGTAAACATAAGAACATCATCCCTTGCAATACGGGAGACTCTTGTACATCACGAGACATGCCGATTTCAGAGTCGCCACATAGCAAGCGACACACATGTCTTGTTCCCTCGGACTCGCCAAACTTGCCAGGACTCTCTCAGCTAGCCCGTGCAAAATTCTTCGTGGGGCTCCAAGATAAAGTTATCAGTAGTCGATTTTTGAGGCGCCTCAAAAACAAACTTATCACAGTCGGGCCTCTCACAAGTGGGTAAGGGGAGAACCAAACCACATGACTCTCTTGTGCATCTCACGAAATTCCCCCACTCACCAGGTTGGCGAGGTCCCTTAAAGCCTGGCTCTCCCCAAAGGCGCGCACAAGCGTGGTGAGATTCTTCTTGGGGTCGGGACGAGCCAGGGCGAGGATGATGGGCTTGTGCGGGTTGGACCAGAACTTGCGCACACTGTGGGAGGGGGAGAAGGGGGAGAGCGAACGGGGGAGGAACACATGTGAGGGGGGTGGGAAGGTGGAACAAGGGAGGAGGGGCAGGTGGGGCGGGCCAGGGCCAGTATGATGGGCTTGTGCAGGTTGGACCAGAACTTGCGCACCTGGAGAAGGGGAGAAGATGAAGCAACAGGGGAGAGGTAGAAAAGGAGGGGAAATTAGACAGGGAAATGCGGGAGGGGAGGAAAGGGCCCGGATGATGGGCTTGTGGGGGTTGGACCAGAACTTGCGCACCTGGTAAGGGGAGGGACGGCAGGAGGGGAGAGGGGGATAGATGGGGGGGGGGAAAAGGAGGGGAACACACATGGAACAGGGAGTGAAGCAGAGAGGACCAGGATGTTGGGCTTGAGCAGGTTGGACCAGAACTTGCGAACCTGGGGGAGAGTTGAGGGGATGGGGGGGGGGGGGAAGAGTTGGGGGGAGAGGAAAGATAATCTTTTGTTTAACCCGCACAAGCACCTATTTTTGACTTCATATTAGAAGCTCACGACGTGATGCGTTCATCTCAGTGAGAATCGAGATAACTTATTCGCTTATTGCACTAAAGGAATATGCGAATTCACATATTCCTTCAGTGCAATAAGCGATTACGTTATCTCAGTTCGCACGGAGATGAACGCACCGCATCCGGGGTTCTGAATATGAAGAACAAAGGAAATGAAAAAACAGGTGCATAGATGTGCGGAAAGAGAAGGGGGAACAAGGAAAGGGGGTGAGGTGAGGAGTGCGAGAGCCAGGGGATGGGTTTGTGCGGGTTGGACAAAGGAATGGACTTTTCTAGGAATTGGACGCAAGGACCGTCTACGAAAGACGATCATCACAGCTTTGGTTGGAGCGTGACGATCACAAACATTGGCTCAAGTACAACAAGATGTGCTACAAACACGAGTCGTTCTTCCATACCTCCTATGACTCATCTTAAACGTCATGACGCTACAATGAAGAAATGTCCTACAGAAAAATTGTTAACTACCTCGGCCCAGATGGGAGGCTCAGGCCCGGGCGAATCAGAGCCGTCGATGTCTGGGACGACCACATTGGAGAAATCCATTCCTGGGGGGATGACCTGATGGATAAAGGGGGTGGGGAGGAACAGGAATGGGACGGAGCGGATGGGGGGTGATTGAAGGAAGGGGTGAAGCAAGGTTCGAATAGCTGGGAGCTATGACAGGGATGACCGCATTTTAAGGGATGAAAGGGAATAGTTTAGTACTCAGGGCTAGGGGTTTTGAACCCTACACCCTCTCCCACCACCCCCACTGCCCAACAGTTCCTCCCCATTGTATGTACTCCACCTCTCCATCCGTGTCACTGTTGCACGGGGAACTGTTACGGCAGTGGGGGTGGTGGGAGAGGGTGTAAGGTTCAGAACCCTTAGCCCCGAGTATCACCTTTTCCCCTCTCCTGGCCTCCTCCTCCTCCTCCTCCTCCTCCTCCTCCTCCTCCTCCTCCTCCTCCTCCTCCTCCTCCTCCTCCTCCTCCTCCTCCTCCTCCTCCTCCTCCTCCTCCCTTTTCTCAATCTCCTGACAAAAACCCGAAACCCTGTATTCCCATACTCACCGCCATGCGGGGCATGAAGCGGCCGTGGCAGCTGACTCCCCTTAACTGCCAGGCGCGCAGCACCCTCTCCAGGCGCACGTCAAAGCCATCATACAGCCCCCACTGCTCCTCCACCTCCTCCACTTTTACCCCTTAAACCCTTAACCCCCTGCAACCCGTGCGCTCATGTGTACTCACCGCCATGCGCGGCATGAAGCGGCCGTGGCAGCTGACCCCTCGGAGCTGCCGGGCGCGCAGCACCCTCTCCAGGCGCACATCAAAGCCATCGTACAGCCCCCACTGCTCCTCCACCTCCTGCCGCGTGCTCGTCACCACCAGCTCTGCTGCGTCGAGAGAAAATTCCTCCGCTTCGATGCGCCGGTCGATGGCGTACTGCGTGTTGATCTCGGCGCGGCTCATGCGGCCCTGCTTCAGCAGCTGCTCCAGCTTGTTTCGGCCCAGAGAGTGGCCTGTTAACACCATGGGCACGTTCAGTGCACCTGGACAGACCAGAGGGAATGGCAGGGGAAGGGAGAAAGGAAGGGCGTTTTGGGAATGGAAGCTGGGGAAATGCCACCACCAGCTCTGCCGCATCGAGAGAGAACTCCTCAACTTCGATGCGCCGGTCGATGGCGTACTGGGTGTTGATCTCTGAGCGGCTCATGCGCCCCTGCTTCAGCAGCTGCTCCAGCTTGTTTCGGCCCAGGGAATGACCAGTTAGGACCATGGGGACGTTCAGTGCACCTGGACACATCAGAGGAGAGGGAATGGCAGGGGAGCGGAGAAAGGAAGGGGGTTGGGGAATGGAGGCAGGGGAATCGAGACCACCAGATCTCCTGCGTACAGGGAGAATTCCTCGGCTTCGATGCGCCGGTCGATGGCGTACTGTGTGTTGATCTCGGCGCGAGTCATGCGGCCCTGTTTCAGCAGCTGCTCCAGCTTGTTGCGCCCCAGAGAGTGCCCCCGGTTAGGACCATGGAGACGTTCAGTGCACCTGGACAGGTTGGGCCGGGGGGCGAGGAGGAGAGGAGGGGAGAATGGGAGGGGGTGCTGCTTCAGCAGCTGCTCTGATTAGTTCGGAAGGGAGTAGCCAGTAAGGACCATGGGCACGTCCAGTGCACCTGGACAGAGAAACGCAGGAGGCATGACAAACACGATTGCACAGAAGCACCCACCTGAGAGCAGTGCTGCTATGTCCCCAGCATCGGCATAGTGCCCGTGGATCATATACGGCCACACGCGCTGTCCATCCCCGATCTGATCCGCCAGCTCCCTGGACATATGCATGATGTGCGTGAGAGCCCCGTCCACAAACTCGTCCACGTACGGCCACAGCGCCTCCTTGCGCAGGTACTGGTCTCGTGGCCCGCACGGCAGGCGGATAATGTACGCGCCCACGCTCTCCCCCGCTATCAGCCCGTCCGGGTCATAGCGGAGAGAGCTCAGCATCTCTGAGGGTTCTCCGTACGACCAATCGACCTAAAATCGTGGGGAGAAACAGGAAATGGGGGAGATGGGAGGAGGGGCGTGTGGGTGCGGCTGAGTGCGGTTGGCAGGGGTTAAGTCAGTGGTTGAACCAAGGGCCGGCAAAAAGAGAAACTGGTGGGCGTGGGGCCAGAGCGCCTCCTTGCGCAGGTACTGGTCTCGCGGGCCGCAGGGTAGGCGGATGATGTAAGCCCCCGCGCTCTCCCCCACTTGGGCCCATCCGGGTCGTAGCGGAGAGAGCTCAGCATCTCTGAGGGCTCGCCGTATGACCAATCGACCTAAAGCACAGGGAGAATGGGGAAACAGGAGCAGGGAGAAGAGGAGAGGGGCGTGTGTACGCGGTTGAGTGCGGTAGGCAGGGGTTCAGTGAGTGGGCCAAGGGGCAGCCACAGCGCCTCCTTGCGCAGGTGCTGGTCGCGCAGGCCGCACGAAAGGCGGATGATGTACGCGCCCGCGCTCTCCCCCGCTATCAGCCCGTCGGGGTCGTAGCGGAGGGAGCTGAGCATCTCTGAGGGCTCTCCGTATGACCAGTCCACCTGAGTACCAGGGAATGAGGGGAGAGGGCGTGTGTGCGGTTGAGTACGGTTGGCAAGAGTTCAGTTAGTGGGCCGCACGACAGGCGGATGATGTAGGCGCCCACGCTCTCCCCCGCTATCAGCCCGTCCAGATCGTAGCGCAGGGAGCTGATCATTTCGGATGGTTCTTCATACGACCAGTCCACCTGGGAAGTGGTTGGGTGCGGTTGGCAAGGGTTCATATAGTGAGCTAAGGACAGGATGATGTAGGCGGCCACGCTCTCCCCCGCTATCAGCCCGTCCGGATCGTAGTGCAGGGAGATGATCATTACTGAGGGTTCTCCATACGACCAGTCCACCTGGGAAGCAGGAAGGGAGGGGGAGTGGTTGGGTGCGGTTGGCAAGGGTTCCGTCAGTGGGCCAAGAGCCAGCCCGCGCTCGCAGCCACTATCAGCTCATCCGAGTCGTAGTGCAGCGAGGATTTTGGTGGGTAAGCAGATCCACGCAGCGCACACACACACACACACCTTTGGCATGTACGCCAGGGTGTTCCCTCTTTCCTAACGAGCAGCTCCAAACCCACCCGCACCACTCTCCACCTCTTTAACACCACTCAGCACCGCTCACCACCACTCACAACCACTTACCCCAGGAGCAACGATCTGGCGTGTGAGCAGATCCACACGGTACACTTGAGGCATGGACGCCAGGGCTCTCGCGATCTCCACCACGTATTTCACCTGCAAGCAGTGGGGGGGGAAGGAAGAAAGGAGTAGGTCGAGGGGAAGAAGGAAAGAATACCACGCGACGATAAGACGGCAGGGAACAAGGGTGTGATACACAGCGAAAAAAATTCCCACCCGTGCAACAATCTGCCTCTAATCAAAGTAGAAAGGAAGGGCAGAATGCAGGGGCAGGCAGCACACGTGAGGGCAGCACACGTGAGGGCAGCACATGCGAGGGCAGCACACGGGACAGTTGCATACCTGGCCGCCCGTGTCCGAGTCTCGGCCCAGCTCCATGTTCTCTCCACGCACCAACCCATGGATGCTGCATGGGGCAGCAGGGAAACGAACACAACGCGCATGCGCATGCACAATGCGTTGATCGAATGAACGCATGCAAGAAAACTTCATTGATTTGCACCCGCACCTTCGTTTCGTTGCGATTGCAAGCAATGATCCTTCTATGTGGTTGCTGGTGAGGTGTGGATGTACCTCGTCTGTTCGTGTGGCGAAGCACTTGTAACATTTGTCATGACAATGATCGTGACAATCCCAAGCCTCACATGATCATGACAATCCCAAGGCTCATCGAATCACGACAATCCCAAGGCTCATCTGATCATGACAATGCCAATGCTCACCTGATCATGACAATCCCAAGGGTCATCTGATCACGACAATCCCAAGGCTTATCTGATCACGACAATCCCAAGGCTCATCTGATCAAGACAATGCCAAGGCTCACCTGATCATGAAAATGCCAAGGCTCACCTGATCATGACAATCCCAAGGCTCACCCGATCACGACAATTCCAAGGCCTGCCAAATCATGCCATTCTCAAGGCTAACCTGATCATGGCAATCCCAAGGTTCACCTAGCCACGGCAATCCCAAGGCTCACCTGATCATGACAATATAGAGCCTCTTCTCCGTGCCATGCTCAAGCGGATCCCTCCCGAGCGCCTCAGCAACCCATCTGGTTAAAAAACCCATACACTCACCTAGTCACGGCAACCCCAAAGCTCACCCAGTCACGGCAATCCCAAGGCTCACCTGATCATGACAATATAGAGCCTCTTCTCCGTGCCATGCTCAAGCGGGTCCCTCCCAGGCGCCTCAGCAGTCAACCCTGCACCAGCAGGCACCTCCCTCTGCCTCTCCCCCTGCTGCTGGTTCTCCCTCCTCCCCCGGGACTCCTTCTCCGCTGCAGCCTTTGCTGCCGCAGCCTGAGCTGCTGCCACGTTGGCACTGGAATCCAGCAGGTCATCCCCGGCCTTGTCCACGTCAGCAGCCACGTCAGCACCGGATAAAGCGTCCGGGAGGGCGTCGTCATCAGGGCCGTCCTCCTCCTCTATGTCTAGCTCAGCCTCCTCCTTGTCGTGCTGCTGCTGCTCCTTGATCCGCGACGCTTCCTGCTCCAACTGCACGGGCGGCAGAAGGTCCCGGAGGAAAAGGAATTTGAGAAGGACATGTTCTTGGAGAGAGTGAGGGGAATACGAATCGGTGTTGGCTCTGTCCTCATGAAGCAGAGAGAGGGAGTCCGGGAGGGTGGAGTCGGGGGTGTCCTCTTCCTCCTCTATGTCCAGCTCAGCCTCCTCCTTGTCGTGCTGCTGCTGCTCCTCCTCTATCCGCGAAGCTTCCTGCTCCAACTGAGGCAAGAAGCGCCATGGAAGGCAGAGATCGTTATAGATTTCGGGCATTGTTGGGGGAGAATTTGGGAAGGTTTGGAGGTGGGGGGGTTTGGGATACTGGCTGGTGTAAAAGGGAGATGATTGGGGGGCATAAAAGAATACTGGCTGATGTAAGAAATCAGGAGATTAAGGAAAGATGTGGGGAATCGCAAGGCTACGAAGTGCCAGAAAGACAAAACAGCGATGACACGAAGATGCTTTTCCAGGTTAGAAGACGCATTCTATGATTATTCTTTGTTTCCCAACAAATACCTAAACATTACAGTCGGTATGCGCTGCATACCTGCTTCTTTTTCCGTGACAGGTGCCAGATTCGCCACGTGAAATTCTCCATTCGGGACCCTTTTTCGTCGCTCATCGCTGTCGCCTGTGCAGATCACGGATCAAAGCAAAGAACGCATTAAGACATTGTGCAAAACGATTGTGTGCGACACGCCCTCAAGTGCATGCCTACATATGCGATGTGTTCACCCATGCGAGACACATATCCGCGTGCGACAATTTCGAGTCGCGACGCTTCCATTAAACATGTGCGACATCTTCACCGCTCTTGTGCGACACTTCCATCGCTCATGTGCGATACCTTCATCCACGTGCGATGCAATTCCTCCTCGCTCGAATCCTTGATCTCATTCACAAAGTATCGGACGGCTGTGCCGCTCTGACCCTTGATCTCCGATAGATCCAGCCGTTCCTTCTTGTCAGTGTCCATCGGCGCGCCTCCGCGCTCTAGAATCGCGTCCAAATAACCCGATAGCCACTCATTCTCCGCCATCGCGCCGCCACTGACTTCCGTTCAATGCTAAAAGATTCAACCAGCAGGTACTGGAGAATTTGCGGAACAAGGGACGTCGATTAAAAGCGGCGAAGAAATCCTTCACGATCCAGTAGAACTCGGGGAAAGCGTCAGCCAGAATACGCTGCGTTCGAAGAAACTTCAGGAACCGACAGAAGGTGGAAGCCGGAATTTCACTCAAGAGGATTGAGCGAGCGTCGCTCGGAGTCTAAAACGGGCGAACGTTCCGAGGAAGAATCTACGCCGTGTATTCACAGCACCAGTCGTCAGTGATTTGCTGGAAATCGCAAGCGAGAATCGACGATTATGGGCTAAAGTTCTGGAGGAATGGGAAATGGCTGAACAGATATTCTACTCACAATCTCAGAGCATGCAGAAGGCAATCCCGTTGGATACAAGGCGGGAGAGCCATGCATTGCGCAATGCGACGGGGGGAAGTGGGTGTCTGTCGGGTTGGGGAGAAAAGGGTGCGGGGAACATGGCAGAACCGTAACAAGGTTGGCGGAACCTTACTGTATACTGATGTCAGCCACGGAAAAGTGAGGAATCGTACTTTACCGCTCTAGTTTCTGTTCTCATTGAGTTGCCGTGACTGAACGAGCCAGTGGTGGTGGGTTGTTCTCGTGTCTACTACGGCCTGCGCCGATTGGATAGGCGGAAGACTGCAGGCTAGCCTTCCGCCCAGCCAATAAAACGGCTGGTCAAGTCGCAACTCTATTCCGCACGCGTCGCACGAGAGTGGAAAGACGGAGAGAATTTCTCCAGAACCCTGTTCGGTGATTCGTCCCTGCTCGCGTGGCTTTGAGTTACTCGAGTGGCCACCAAGTTTGGTGATAATTACTCGAGTGGCCACGCCAGGGGATTCCCGCACGCTTTTTGCCTTTCTTGGCAATGCGCGTCCAATCAGGCGCGGTCATATAATGTCACGAACATAAATTTCGGATAATGAAAATCGCGCAATAATCATTTCAAAACTTTCGGGGCTACAAACCCCCGTAGGGTAATGTGCCGGAAAAAACAAGCGTGCGGGAATCCCCTGGCGTGACCACTCGAGTAATTTTTACCAATTCTGGTGGCCACTCGAGTAATTTGAAGCCACGCGAGTAAAAAGGAATCATCAAACATGGTTCTACAGTAAATCTCTCGAAAAGGCGATGAAAACGACGACCTGCTGCACCTGCTTTGCAGTCGCCCATAATCGAACCGTCTATGGACTACATGATTGCCACCTGGCTGAATCTAACTCGTCCGAATATTCTCCACTGCTCTGGGATCTCCACACAGCCTACAGCCAGCACGGTTTCGAATGTGGAAGACTCCGTTGTAATCAGCGTAGTTGAAGCCTTTTGACAAGTGAAATAGCATAAACATAGAAGCAACGTGCTTCTTGTAATTGCATCTTTTGCATGTTCCCTCTTCCCTCACATTCTTTACATTGATATAACCAGTTGTGATAAGCAAAGCTTCAGGTTTGAATGATTACATACAACAGACCAACTCCTAAAGAAGAAACATCTACATAACCATCATTGCTACAGTACAAACAACACAACTAGGATGTCACACCTCTCCATCCTCAAGTTCATCATCATCATCATCCATGATCGCACGTCTCTTTGCCGGCCGGTGATGCCACGTCACCACATCTTCCTCACTCTCTTCACTGCTGTCCACCTCCTCCCCCTCCTCCCTCTCTGCAGCAGCAGCAGCAGCAGTGGCAGAAGCAGCAATTCTTCGATCACCAGAAGGACCAGCAGCGGCAGCAGCAATAGCATGCTGCAATGCTGAGGATGACCCTGCTCCACTCCTCTCCACCCTACCCCCTACCCTGCTATCCCTCCTCTCCACTCCTGCGCCAGTTCCTGCATTATCGTGTCTTTCCCCGCCTCTTCTTAGTCCGCTATCTGGCCGCTCTTCTCCCCGATTTGCATGCCCTGCTCCCCGTCGCTCCACTCCTAGCCCTGATCGCTCACGCTCCAGTCCCTCGTGTCTCCTCTCGCCATGCTCCCTGCCTGTCCTATCATGTCTCTCTACCCCCACTACTGCTCCCACATGCTCCCCAGGTTCTTCCTTCACCCTCACATGTGTGCTACTGCCACCTGTCCCACCCCTCTCAGGCACACCACTGCCACCTGCCATGCCACTGCCCCCTCCCAGCTTCCTCTTCTTGCTCTCATCCAAACCTGCTGCCCCGGCTCCTCCCAGCCCACTTCCTCTCCCCAATCTTGCTCCCCCTTGCTCCCCGACCCCTCCCCCTCGTCCCTCCCCTGCCCCCCCTGCCCCCACTCCCCCACTCGCCTCTCTAGCTCCAACCCTGCTTGGCCCAGCAGCAGGACCATATGCACCTTCACCCATTCTTCGACTCATGGCAGCACCCGTTTTTTGAGTCGACTCAAAACTAGGTTCAACCCTGCTTGGCCCAGCAACAGGACCATGTGCACCTTCACCTATTCTTCGGCTCATGGCAGCACCCGCCCCCTCACCCTCTCTCCTCCCTTCGTTCACCCTCTGCTCACTCGCTCTCCCTCTCTCCCTCTCGCTCACTCGTTTACCCTCGCTCGTCGTCCCTTTGCCCTTGGCTGCAGCGGCAGGGGAAGACTTGACAGCAAATGTTTTTTTAGGGCCCTCAGAACTCGTCCCTTTGCCCTTTGCTTCAGCAGCAGGTGAGGACTTCCGAGCAACAGCTTTCTGCTTTCCCATTGGTGGCTTCATTCTGAGCCCACCTCCTGCTTCTCCTGCTTCACCTCCTCCTCTTCCTGCTGCCGCAGCAGCCGCTCCTGCTCTGCCTGCTCCTGCTCCTCCTCCTGCTGCTCCCTCTGCTGCTGTTTCTCCTGACCTTCTTGACGCTCCTGCTGCTCCTGCCGTTTCTCCCGTTCTTCCATCTGCTGCAGCTCCTGCTGTGCCTCTTGCTGCAGCACTGCTTCTAGGCGTAACAGGGACGCAGTTGCTGTCAGCATCTGAAGCAGCACCAGTCAAGGTGCGCCCACCAGCATCCAGCGTAGCAGCAGCGCCTGCAGCAGCACCGGCAGCAGCACCCGCGGCGGCACCAGCAGCACCAGCAGCAGAAGCAGCAGCAGAAGCAGCGGCACCAGCACCGCCAGCACCAGCACCGCCAGCAGCAGCACCAGGGAAGTCATTGTAGTGTCTGGAGATCCCAAGGGTGACCTCGTTAGGAGCTGGTTCAACATAATTGGGGTCGTTGCACTTGCCTCGTATAGGGTCCATGTAGCAAAACCTGGGAAGTAAGTTACAAGAGTCAACAGGATTGAACCAGAGTCAAGAAAAGAGGATGTATATAGGTAAACGGCTGTCAGCACGTCCCTCGTATCATATGGAATCCATGTAGCAGAACATGGGAAGAATAGTTAACAAGAGACAACAGGAGTCAACAGAAGTCAACAAGAGGCATGCATTCAATGGCAGGCAGAGAGAGAGAGCAAGCACACATTGCACCCTTCCTCCCATCCCATCATCACCTTCCCTCCTACCAGGTCTCTCTCTGGCAGCATTTTCAAGACCACATGGGGTGGAGTGGTCAAATACCATGTGCCAGCTGGTTCTGAGTATTCGCAAAAGCGATTCTCAAAAGAAAGATTTCAGAAGAGAGCTCGGACAGATGGGGGGGAATAATCCCATGTGCTAACACTGTGCACAGCGACACACACTTTTTATGGGAGTCACTTTTGAGAATTTTCAAAAGAGACTCCCGTGAAGCATCCTTCAGTCCGCATGGGGTGGAAGAATACCAAGTGCTGGCACTGCGCGCAGCCACAACCGCTCTTTAAAACTAACAATACCAACCCACATCACCCCTCAGCACCCAGCATCATCCCACAGCACCCCACATCATCCATCAGCACCCCTCAGCACCCTTCAGCACCGCTCATACCAGTTCACTGGCAGCGACTCCATGGTGACATGGGGCGGCAGAATGTGCCACTGCTCGCACTTCTCGCATTGCACCCACTCTTTGTGGTCCTGCAGGATTGCCCCCTCTGGTATGTTCGCCTGAACAAGAGTAAGGGAGGAGAAGGAGAGGAGAAAGGAAGGACAAGAAAGAAAGCGTCAAGCTGCAGTCCCCCTGTCATTGCTCGCACTTCTCGCACTCTTTGTGGTCCTGCAGGATTGTCCCCTCTGGGATGTTCGCCTGAACAAACGGAAGGGAGGAGGAAGAGGGACAAGAGAGCGGAGACAAGTCTCACTGCCACTGCTCGCACTTATCGCACTGCACCCATTCCTTTGGTCCCGCAGGATTGCCCCCTCTGGTATGTTCGCCTGAACAAACAGAAGGGACGAGGAGAGCGAGAAAGAGATCTGGCCTCGCCCTTTCTCACTGGGAGAGAAAGGGGAACAGGGAAGGAGAAGAGAAGGGAGGATGGAGGACAGACAAGAATCAAGAGTCAAGCTGCAATCGTACTGGCCCTGCTGCTGCTGCAATCGCACTGCACCCATTCCTTTTGATCCTGCAGCACTGCCCCTGCTGCTGCTGCTCACCACTGGGTGGCTTAATATACTTCATACACACGCGCACGCACACGCCCACGCACATGTGCACGCACACACGCACGCACACGTACACGCACACGCGCACGCACACACGTACACACACACAACGAAGACGACTCACAGTGGGGAGGTCTCTGTCGAAGTCGTCCTCTCAGTACTGGTTGAAAGTGACAGACAGGAAGGCCTTGAGCCGCTGATACTCCCACTTCACTCCACCACTCACCACATGGGGAAAGAAAAGAAGAAGAAGAAGAACAAAAACTCACAGTGGGGAGGTCTTTATCAAAGTTGTCCTCCCAGTACTGGTTGAAGGTGACAGACAGGAAGTCTTTGAGCCGTTGATACTCCTCTCCCTCTGCAAACCGCTGCTTGCAGTTCAGCACCCCCAGCTCTCCGGCTACATCCTGCAGGGAAGAAGGTCAAGAGGAGTGTGACGTGGTTGAGAGGGGTACAAGGGGGAGCTCGTATTGGCGATTGCAGTTCAGCATGCCCCAGCTTAACTGGTGCATGCATCCTGCAGAGCAGAACATGACGAGGTGTGTGACGCGGTTGAAGGGGGTGCAATGAGGGGCTTCCTAGTAGGGAGAAGGGCCACATGCTTGCACAGCAGGCAGGTTGCACACAGTACTCACAAAGAGAGCGGTGGTATCGACCACGCCCACCACGCCCAGCCCGGCATCCCCCGAATACTCCATCCGTCCGACGCGCTTATACGCCTCGATGAGCCGCCCGTGCCAGTACAGGAAGAACCCGCACCGCCCACACGCCCTCTCGCATGCGTTCAGCCTTCCAAGACCCTTCACCTGTGTTTTGCACAACCTCAACCTTGCACGGATGTGCGGTAAGGTACTCACAAAGAGAGCGGTGGTATCGACAACGCCAACCACCCCCAGCCCAGCATCTCCCGAGTATTCCATCCGTCCGACCCGCTTATAAGCTTCAATTAACCGCCCGTGCCAGTACAGGAAGAACCCGCAACGCCCACACGCCCTCTCGCCTTCGTCCATGCCCATCCGCACTTGCACCGGCTGCCCCATGACGGTCCCCGTGGTGGAGAACGGTTGGGAGAGGTTCTCCGCGATGTCAGCGCTGCCTTGCACGGCGCGGCCTTGCACTGAGATGGTGGCGGGGTTGTGCAGAAACATGACTCGCAGGTAGGCTCGTAGGGAGTAGTCTATTGGTACCTGCAGGGAAGGGGAGTTGTGGGGGGGGGGGGGAGGGAGGGGTTGAGGGGGAGTTCAAGTGGGAAGGGAAGGGAAGAGAGTAAGGGGAAGGGGGGTATAGACAGGCACTGGAGATATGTTCGCTCCACACGGCCTTGCACGGTGATGGTGGCGCTGTTGTGGAGAAACATCACTCGCAGGTGGGAAAGGGAAGCGGAGAGGCCAATTGGGAAGGGGGGGGAAGGGGAAGGGGAAGGGGGAAGGGGAAGGGGAAGCGGAAGGGGAAGGGGAAGGGGAAGGGGGGAGGGGAAGGCAAGGGGGAAGGGGGATACAAGGGTGGAGAGTGGGTGAGAGGGGCACTGGAGATGTGACCGCTCCCCACGGCCTTGCACTGTGATGGAGGCAGGGTTGTGAAGAAACATGACCCGCACGTTGGCGCGCAGGGAGTAGTCTATGGGCACCTGTAAGGCATTTTTGAGAATTCTCAAAAGTGATTCCCAAATAGCAGGGAGTAGTCGATGGGCACCTGGTGGGAAAGGTAGAGAACGGGCAGGGAAAGGTAAGGGCAGAAGGTTGGGTTGTGGAAAAACATGACTCGCATGTTGGCGCGCAGGGAGTAGTCTATGGGCACCTGTGAGGCACTTTTGAGAATTCTCAAAAGTGATTCCCAAATAGCAGGGAGTAGTCGATGGGCACCTGGTGGGAAAGGTAGAGAACGGGCAGGGAAAGGTAAGGGCAGAAGGTTGGGTTGTGGAAAAACATGACTCGCATGTTGGCGCGCGGGGAGTAGTCTATCAGCACCTGTCAGCTACGTTGATGGTACTTTTGAGAATTCTCAAAAGCACCATCAACGCAAGTTGGTGCGCAGGGAGTAGCCTGTCGGCACCTGTGAGGCAGCGAAAGGGGAAGGGGGAAGGGAGATAGTGGGGTGGCGACTGGCGACAGGATCCTGCATTGCCTCACTGGGGAAATATCTGCCCTGCACTGCGTGGCTTTGCACTGTGATGGTGGCGGGCGAGTGGGTGAAACAGGCACTGGGGGGGATATGCCCGCTCGAAACTGCATTGCAGCGAGATGGAGGAGAGAGGGTTAGAAGAGGAGGTGGAGGAGGAGCTGGTGGATGAGGCAAGACGACTTTCGAGGCGCCTAAAAAAATCCGCGTGAACTGAGACGACTCTTGAGGCGCCTCAATGGTGGAGGAGGAGGAGCTGGTGGATGGGGCGAGAAGAGACAAGGGGGACGGTTCAAGGGCTGTAGGGAACCAACATGCAGGGAGAAGCGCGCAAGGAGCAGAGCAGTCAGTGGGTACTTCGACAGGGGGAGACGGGAGAACTAGTTAGAGTTAGAGGGAGAGGTGGGCTATCTACTCACGTCTTGGCAGAGCTGGTTGGGGCGGGAGCGGGGGCGCCGGGTGCGGATGAGGATGTCGTGGGCGTCGTCGTCCCACTCGAGCTCGTACGCTGCATCTGGACGCGACAGGCGCTTGAGGTTGAACACGTAGATGCGCGTGCCCGTGGGGGGGGAGTCACTGGTCCCACTCGAGAGCTCCAGCCTGCGGGAGAGCGGTGGGACATAGAAGCCGTAACAGAGAAGCTGGGCAGGACAGGCGCTTCAGGTTGAACAAATCGATGCGCGTGCCCGTGTGGGGGGAGTCTCTAGAACCGTTTGCCTGCTCCAACCTGCGGGGGGGATTGCGGGAAGCGGGAGCAAGACTGGGTCGCTGTGAGCATATGGGGCGGGACAGGCGCTTCAGGTTGAACACGTAGATGCGCGTGCCCGTGGGGGGGGCGTCACTGCTGCTTCTTGCTTGCTCCAACCTGAGGGGATGGAAGTGGGGGGGAAGAGGGGGTGGGAAGCAGTGGAAGCCATGACTGGTGAGCACCGTAGTGAGATACTGGGAAGGGGTAAAAGCCATGACAGGCGCCATGACTGAGATACTGTTCACAGATGGGGCGGGACAGGCGCTTGAGGTTGAACACGTAGATGCGTGTGCCCGTGGGGGGTGAGTCACTAGTAACACATGCTTGCTCCAGCCTGTGAGGGAAGTGAGGAGAGAGAAGAACAGGCTCAGAGTACAGGGTTGAACACATAGATGCATGTGCCAGTGGGGGTTGTGCCTGTGTGTGGGTGAGTGGGCCGTGTGCAGCAGTGGTGGCCTCACCCACTCACGTGCGAATTCGAAAAAAACACTCACTTGCGGAACTCCTGGTTTATCTTTCTCTCGTCCAGAGGCGAGAAGTCAAAGATTGCTCGCTTGCGCCTCTCCGCCTCCTCCTCTGAATGCACCCCCAGGTCCAGCTGCCACTCAGCAGTCCCACCTCCCCCTACAGATCCACCTCCCCCTGCTGCAGATCCACCTCCCCCTGCAGATCCACCTCCCCCTGCTGCAGATGCACCTCCCCCAGATACCACCTGCTTGTACGTCACGATGGGGATCTCCAGCTCCTGCCGGCCCTGGTTGAGCGAGCGGGAGAGCAGCGCAATGCTGCGGCTGTCTGTTGACTGGGTTAGTACCAAGGCATCGTTTCCTATGCGCATGGTGCCCGTCTGGTGGTGAGGGTGGGAGGAAAGAAGGGAACAGAGGGAAATAGAGAGGGAAAGAGAGAAGGGAGAGAGGAGAGAGAGTGCATTTCGGGTTTTGAACAGGGGTTGTGAGAGTCACAATGGGGATCTTCAGCTCCTGCCGGCCATGGTTGAGCGAGCGGGAGAGCAGAGCGATGCTGCAGCTGTCCCTTGACAGGGCCAGCACCAAGGCGTCGTTGCCTATGCGCATGGTGCCCGTCTGGTGGTGGTGAGGACGGGAGGTGGACGGAAGGAATGAGGGAACGAGAGTCACGAGAGGAATGAGGGAACGAGAGTCACGACAAGGGTCTGCAGCTCCTGTCGGCCGGCCCCGGTTGAGCAGGGATGGAGCGCGATGCTGCGGCTGTCGCTTGACTGGGTCAGCACCAGTGCATCGTTTCCTATGCGCATCGTGCCCGTCTGGTGTTTCTTGTTGGAAAAAAGGGGTTGAGCGGAGAAAAGAACGACAGAGAAAGACAGTATTAGGTGAAGTGAGGTGAGGATGGGGCTTGTTGTAAGAATCAATAAAAAAGATAAGAGAATATCGAGCTGCTGCCTGTCCTTTGATGGAGCGAGTGTGGAAGAAGTGCAGCGCGGTGCAGCGCACCTTGAAGCCGACGCCGAATCGGCCGATGTGGTGGGGGTCCTCCTCTGCGGGGATGTCATGGCCCAGCGACAGCAAGGTGACCGTTGAGTCGACTCAAACAGTTGGGGGGCTGCCTGCAATGCAATGAGTGCAACGCAGCGCACCTTAAAGCCGACACCAAATCGGCCGATGTGGTGGGGGTCCTCCTCTGTTGGAATGTCATGGCCCAGCGACAGCATCTGAACCAACTCGCCGTGGTCCATGCCCTTGCCATCGTCACACACGTGCAGCACTGGCACCGCCTCACTTGACACAGCGGCGGAGGAGGGGCGAGTGAAGGAGGAGGAGGGTAACGGTGCTGCGGCTGAGGGTGATGCTGCGGGGACTGCTGTTGCTGCTGCTGCTGCCGCGGATGCTCTTGGGGGGAGCTTGGCCGTGCTGATGAAAATGTCCAGCCTGCATGGAGGGAGGGACGTGTACGAGCGAAGTACAATGGCAAGTTTTGAGGCGCCTCAAATGCCGCGGCTGCTCTTGGGGGGAGCTTGGCCGTGCTGATGAAAATGTCCAGCCTGCATGAAGGGAGGGACGTGTACGAACGAAGTACAATGGCAAGTTTTGAGGCGCCTCAAAAGCCGCGGCTGCTCTTGGGGGGAGCTTGGCCGTGCTGATGAAGATGTCCAGCCTGCATGGAGGGAGGGACGTGTACGAGCGAAGTACAATGGCAAGTTTTGAGGCGCCTCAAAAGCCGCGGCTGCTCTTGGGGGGAGCTTGGCCGTGCTGATGAAGATGTCCAGCCTGCATGGAGGGAGGGACGTGTACGAACGAAGTACAATGGCAAGTTTTGAGGCGCCTCAAAAGCCGCGGCTGCTCTTGGAGGGAGCTTGGCCATGCTGATGACAATGTCCAGCCTGCGTTGAAAGAGACGTGGGGGATTCCCAAGGGCAGGGCACATACACACACAACAAAACACAGAACTTGGGGCTACACGAAAACCAAGGTCCAACTACTGCTGCTGCTGCCACTACCGAAGTTTGGCCATGGTGATGAAAATCCCCATAAACTCTGCCAGGCCCCCGAACACCCACTGCGTGTGCACCAGTGCCATGACATGATGGGAGTGGATGCACGGGTGTGTGTGTGTGGGTGGGTGCATCACCCCAGCCCAGCCTCACCCATGCCAGGGAGAAAGTGCTGCGTTGCTTCGTACCTGCGTGCCTTGGCGTCCATGGAGTTGTTTATCAGCTCCGCCAGGCCCCCGAACAACCACAGCTGGTGCGAGTGCGTCTGTGCCATGATGGGAGTGCGTCTGTGCCATGATGGGAGTGCGTGTGCGTTGCGTGTGTCGCGCGTACGTGCATGCGTGTGTGAGTGTGAAAGTGCTGCCCCTACCTGCGTGCCTTGGCGTCCATGGAGTCATCAATCAGCTCCGCCAGGCCCCCAAACACCCACTGCTGGTGCGTGCATGTGTGAGTGTGTGTGTGTGAGTGTATGTGTGTGAGTGAGTGTGTGTGCGTGTGAGTGTGTGTGTGTGTGTCACAACCCCCGTCCCTACCTGCGTGCCTTGGCGTCCATGGAGTTATCAATGAGCTCCGCCAGGCCCCCAAACACCCACTGCTGGTGCGTGTGCGCCAGGGACGCCAGGTACTGCGGATGCATGCCGGGCCCAGGCGCACGGGTAGGGGGAAGGGAAGGGGGAGGCGGCGGGGGAGAGGGGCGAGCAGGTGGAGGGGCCATTGGGGAAGCAGATGGAAGAGGAGGAGGAGGAGCAGGAGCAGGAGCTAAAGGAGGGTGGGGAGGAGGGGGTGGAAGCGTGGGAGGAGGAGGAAGTGCACCTTTGAAAGAGAATGCTGATGTGGGGGTTGCACATGCTGACGTGGACAATGGAGGTGTTGACGTGGATACTGGAGATGCTGACGTGGACAATGGAGGTGCTGACGTGGATACTGGAGCGGCAGGGGCGGAGGCAGCAGTGCGAGAGGAGAAAGATCCTGCAGCAGTGAGGCCCGGAAGGCTCTGCGCTCTTGGGGTGGGGGAAGCACCACGGGCGTGTGGGGGAGGAGGAGGGTGGGAGGAGGACCAGCCGCCTGGTGAGCCAGGAGCACGAGGCGAGCCATGCCCTGCTGGAGTGTGACCGTGCTGCTGCCGCCACTGTTGCTGCTGTTGTTGCTGCTGCTGCTGCTGCTGCTGCTGCTGCTGCTGCTGCTGCTGCTGCTGCTGCTGCTGCTGCTGGTGTGGTGGCGGTAGTGGCTGTGGCGGTAGTGCTTCCTGTGGTTGGGGTTGCTGCACAGATGCAGAAGACACCTGTGGTTCGGGCTCAAACCCAGGTGGAACCCGCCCTAGTTGCACCTGCGACCCTGCCCACACTTGTCCCTGCTGCTGCCCCTGCTGAATCTGCTGCCCCTGCCCATGCCCTTGCCCCTGACCCTGTGCAACTGAACGTGGTGAGGCTGCTCGAGTAGGGGGCGGAGCTGATGGCACGTGCGAGTGTGCCTGCCCAGGTGGCACCTGTCCTAGATGCGCCTGACCGTTTGCCACCTGAGCTTGTGCCTGTCCAGGTGCCACCTGAGAATGCGCCTGTCCATGTAGCACCTGTCCAGGTGCCATCTGTCCAGGTGCCATCTGAGAATGCGCCTGTCTCTGGAGCACCTGACTGTGCTGCTGACCAGGTGCCATCTGACCAGGTGCCATCTGACCAGGTGCCATCTGACCAGGTGCCATCTGTCCAGGTGCCGTGTGCGCAGGTCTTGATTGCTGCGGCGGCAGCAGCCCCGGGAGCACCGCAGGGAAGCGCGGGGCGCGGCGGGGGATGCCAGCTGGCAGCGGCGCGTAGTACGCCCGGGCAGAGGAGAAACCGGTGGGGAGAGTTGGAGAGGGGTGTGGAGGGGCGGAGAAGGCGGGAGGGGGTGGGAGAGGGGAGGTAGAGGTGGTGGCGGAAGGGGTGGCGATGGGGAGCAGGCCGAACTGGTACTGGCCTCTCGCTGATGTTATGAGCCCCACCTGACGGGCGATAAACGGGGGCAGGAGGAGCAGGGGAAAAGAGGAAAAAAAGGGAGGGAAGACAGAAAAGAGGGGGCTTGAGGGACAGTCGAAGTGGAGGAGGGTGGGTTGAGATGGAGGTGCATGGGGTGGCGATGGGGAGGAGGCCGGACTGGTACTGCCCTTGCGCTGATGTGATGAGCCCCACCTGATGGGATGGGAGGAAGGGGAGGAGGAAAAAATGATAAAAGATAAGGAATAAGGACTAAACAGGCGAGGGGTGTTGATTGTGGACGAGGGGGGAGAGAGAGGCTGGGTGGAAGGAAAGGGGAGAGGGGTTGGGGAGGAGGGGACGGGCTTGGCATCTGCGGTGTAAACAATGAGCTACCCTACTCCTTCTAACTCGAAATCACTATTGAGAATTCTCAAAGGTGTAAACAACGAGCTACCCTACTCCTTCTAACACACACCCACCCACCCTGCCATGCGCCCTGAGCACATGAACAAGCTGCTCCCAGTTGTTGACATCCAAAGACGAGGAGCTCCTCTCAGGGTACACTCGGAAGTGATTCAACCACGGCACACGTGTACCTATCCCCTGAACCACAGACACACGTGTGCGCGTGCACACACACCCACCCACCCACTTACCCTGCCATGTGACCTGAGCATGTGCACGAGCTGCTCCCAGTTGTTGACGTCCACAGAGGAGGAGCTCCTCTCGGGGTACACTCGGAAGTGACTCAACCCCTTCTTTCCTCAACCACACACACACACACGTGCGCGCGTGCACACACACACCCACCCACCCACCCACCCACGCACCCGTCCATGTGTCCTGAGCACGTGCACGAGCTGCTCCCAATTGTTGACGTCCACAGAGGAGGAGCTGCGCTCGGGGTACACTCGGAAGTGCGGCAGGGAGGGCAGCGAAGGCAGCTCCACTCGCGGGGTCAGCTTCGGCAGCAGCACCCACGTCTCGTCCCTGAGAGGAGAAGGGATGCAGGGGAAGGGAAGGACGAGACGGGATGCAGGCACGCACGTGAAAGATGCACTGCGTGAAGGGGACGTGGCAGGGAGGGCTGCGATGGCAGCTCCACGGTCAGCTTCGGCAGCAGCAGCACCCACGTCTCGTCGCTGTGAGTAGAAGAGATACAGGCACACGGGGCACAAGACAGCACGTATGAGATGCACAGGGTGACTTTTGAGTCGACTCAAAAGTCACCTCGATACAGGCACATGACGCACAAGACAGCACGTATGAGATGCACAAGGCCGGGTGGATACGGACGGAACGTGGGAGGGAGTGGGCAGGGCAGAGCGGAGGTGCACAAGAGGGGGCAGGGAAAGCAAGATGCCACGTGTCAGCCAGGCACTGACCTGATGTCAAGAGGCCACGTGTCAGCCGCGAGGTTGCAGATGATCTTGCCGTCAAAGTTGTAGAGCGGTACTGTGCTCACCACCTCGGGCTCTCCGGGGTCCATGTCTGCTCATCATGCACGGATTGGGTGGATGGGACGAAGGGGGCAGAGGCAGGGGGGTGTGAGGAAAGGAGGGTTGGTATTAACACTCAGGAGTTGTAAGGGGATACACACACGCAACGCAACAGTCTTGCCGTCAAAGTTGTAAAGCGGCACTGTGCTCACCACCTCGGGCTCTCCGGGGTCCATGTCTGCTCGTGTGTGGAGATTGAGGGGGTGTGAGGAAGGACGGTTCAGATCAACGGTCAAGAGATGTCGAGGGGTCCATACACACGCAACAATCTCCCTGACGGAGTTGTAGAGCGGTACTGTGCTCACCACCTCGGGCTCTCCTCATTTTTTTCCATTGCTTGGCTGCTCGCAGTAGTCCGCACTCCAATCCCCTCACTGGAGCAAGCAGACGGAGGCACTTCTGCACTGGTTGCTCCATTCTCAAGCCCCTGAAACACTACGGTCCAAATGCGATCTCTTCTCCGTCTTCAACAGGTCGCGACGCGAGCCCTCTGCTTCACAAGTCCTCTGCTTCAGGCGAATGGGCTTGCGTGCACGCAGAGCCCTTCTTTTGCGGCAAAAAGGCGCGCGAAATGATGACGGTGCGCCCGAAGTTGCGCCGTCACCGGTCGGCGGTCGACAGCAGGCAGCTGACTGTGCGCGGAACTGGCTGGTCGACCAGCTGTCTCCGAGAATTCTTAAAAAGGCAGCTGACCGTGCGCTGAACTGGCTGGTCGACCAGCTGTCAGCCGCGCCGCTGATTTAGCGCAAGCTGGCCCGCGAGATGCGGAGGCGAGGCGAACAGAGAAACGACGCTCTTAATTGGAAAAGAGACGAGGCTAGAACGCGCTGGCTCGGGTGGGTCGCACGGGTGAGTCGCACGGGTGAGCCGCAAAATGGGTGGGTCGAACGGGTGGGTCGAACGGGTGGATCGCACGGTTGCGTCGCACGGTTGGGTCGCACGGGTGGGTCGCACGGGTGGGTCGCATGGGTGGGCCAAACGGGTGGATCTGTAACGATGCGTCTAGGCCTCATCTACCGGAAATGCGTCGGTCAGTGAAGGCCGAAAGAAGAGGAGACCAGAGGATTCTGCCAGATGAGCGTGCGACAAGGAGATTCTGTAGCATGAAAGCGCGACGAGAGGATTCTGTCGCGTAAGAGTGCGACGAGAGGATTCTGTCGCATAAGAGTACGACGAGAGGATTCTGTCGCACGACCACGGGACTGAGAGGAGTCTGTCGCATGAGCGTGCGACGAAGACAGGCGGCTCGTTCAAAGAACTCAGGGGGATTCTAACGACGACTCGTTCACTGAATGCTGCGCTTCTCGTCCCGTTCATCATGCACATCAGCAGCGTGCGACTAACGTTCCGCCAGACGGCAGAAACACCGTGTAGTGTGAGCTTGGTCAGTACACCGCAATCCCAAACCTCGCGCATCTCTAAGGTCTGGAAATGAAATCCCTGGCGACCCGGGAAACCAGGTCGGGTAGGCCAGCCTACGGAGAGCGACGCGGCCTGAGCGACGGAGGGGAAGTATGCGACGGACGGCGGAGAGGACGTGTGCGACGCACCGTAGATGTCGCCTGCAACGTTGGTAGGATCCATGCAGGCTCAGCGACCTCCTCGAGCGACCCGCGTCGCGCAAGCTGATCTGTCGAAATGCTGCTGCTGCTGCTGGCAGAATACTTCGACTTATACGATGCCGTATATACTTGACGGGAAACGGGAACGGAGCCGCGGCACGCAGCCCTGCAAGGTAGACGGAAACACGCAGAGGCATGACCAGCCGTTAGTCTGCTATGCTAGTTACGGGCTCACACTATCAGGGTCCGCTGTTGGGGGTGGGACATACCCAACTTGTCTTGGACTTTCCCTTCCAGTTGTCAATACCCTTAGACATGTTGGGTGTTTGATGTTCATAACCATCTCTCTTCCTCCATTGCAAACAGCACGTTAGCAGACATTCGCTCCATCTCCTCGATCAAACCCTTTTGTCTACGAGAGCACCTTCCTGCATGGTCCTGTTCTAACCGAGACTTTCAAACCTATAACTCGCTGATCAACTCATCTCAGCCGGGGTGCGCTCCGTGGATGAACTAGTATCTCTATGCTCAACGCCTAGATCTTGTTGCTTATATTGTCACTAACTTCCTAGTCTATTGCTGGTAACGCTACAGCTTAATGAATGTAGATAGGAATGCTAGCGGAGGTAAAAAAGGCGGATTAACTACAATGTATAAATCCTAAAGTGTTGCGGATGGTTGGGGAAAGGAAGTTGTGGTTTATATATGAGAAAGACATGAGTGTTGGAGAGTGCTTTGTGGGTCACCAATGCTATGTTACAATTTGTGAGATGCCATGTGGCGCAAGTTGTGTGGCCAATCTCCAACCCCTTTTCAAACATCCAACTTGGTTGCAAACTGTACACCCAAAATGGAACATAACAAATCAACTTTCAACTATATATTGAAAAAACATGCTAATAATAACACACCTCTTCTAGTGGATGTTTAAAACAATCAGGCGGGTTCTCATAGCAAAACGAGTGCTTTTTGTTGAGGGCAATATGTAGTTTGCACGGCAACCTACCGCATATTCGCCAACGGTGAAAGAAAACGGTGAGGTGTGTATAGAGCCTATAGGTCCCAAATAGCCGTCAACACTTTCTTCTCCTCGTTAATTGCCATCGTCCTAATTTCAATTGGCAAATTACAGCAAGTAGTCGAACTATAAAAACAAGCGCGTGTACAAGGTATTACCGTATTTCTCCGTGCATAAATCTCCGCAATTTTTTTCCGCCCCGGGGCTTAACATAAGCAAAAGGCGATAAGGATATTTACAAACCGATACCCAATCCGTGTCAGACGTGTGATTTTTTTGTCGAAATATTTTGTCATGTTTTATAATTGCTTGTAGTTGTAGTTAGTGTAGTTATGTAAACTTTTGTTGGTGGTGCACCTTATTGTGTTTCTATGCTATATGTACCCCTGAACCTATAGTGAAACCAACCTTTTCACCAATTTCTCTCAACTCACTCGATACATCGCTCCTAGGGAAAATCCCGCTCGATACCTAAGTTCGGGCCTAGGCTACTAAGCCTAGGCCCCACCTTCTAACTAGTTATTCCTATTACTCTCGACATGTTATCGGAGCTTAGTGTTCGTCCTGGCCTGTGGGCCCGCTTTACTTCCGCTGCTAAGATTTTACGGTCGCGCGCCTAGGGCGCGTGACGGTTTTATTTTTACCTTGTCCCGCCCACGGGCGTGTGACTCCTTCCCTGCCCGTCGCGCGCCCCGTGGCACGCGACGGTGCCCTTCTACTGCCCATCGTGCGCCCCGTGGCACACGATGGTGCCCTGCTCGTCGTGTGCCCCGAGGCACACGATCGGGCCCTTTTATTCTACCCGTCGTGCGCCCCGTGGCACTGGCCCGCGACGGGCCTTTCCGCCCCTGCACTCCCTGCTGCCGCCCCTGACCCATCTGCACCGACGCCTCTTCGCCGCTCTGCGGCTTTCTTCCTTCCCACCCCCCCCTTTCTCTTGTCTCCCTGCAGCCGTGGGGAGGAGGGTATGGGGGTGGAGGGTGTTGGAGCGTGGGGTCAACTCTCTCCCTTTCCCTCCTCCTTCTTTCAGTCCCACCGCTGCAGCTGCCGCTGGGGGGGGAGGGTGTGAGGATGTGGGTGAGGAGGGGGAGTGGTACCGGGGTGGCGGGTGTGAGGCAACAAGCAGCCGTCCCTCCACCTCTCCTCTCTTCCCCCCTTCTCTGCTGCTTCTGCAGCAGTGTGGGGGAGGGGAAGGAGGAGGGTGAGGAGATGGAAGGGGTACCTGCTGTTGCTGTAACTACATACCTACCTACAAGCATTATGGGGGCGTGTCGAAATATTTTGTCATGTTTTATAATTGCTTGTAGTTGTAGTTAGTGTAGTTATGTAAACTTTTGTTGGTGGTGCACCTTATTGTGTTTCTATGCTATATGTACTCCTGAACCTATAGTGAAACCAACCTTTTCACCAATTTCTCTCAACTCACTCGATACATCGCTCCTAGGGAAAATCCCGCTCGATACCTAAGTTCGGGCCTAGGCTACTAAGCCTAGGCCCCACCTTCTAACTAGTTATTCCTATTACTCTCGACATTTTTCCCATGATGTGGCACAAATATTTTCTTCAATAAGCCATAGGGCGATAAGAAGAATTTTCGAAAACCACCACCCCCCCCTCCCCCCTCCCCCTTCCACAACAAATCGAAAACCAGAAAGAAGGGGCTTTTATCCGGGGGTATACGATATATTAGCTCAACTTATCATGTTCAAGCAGCAATATAGTTATGATTGGTGTTGGACGGGGGGTTAGAGAGGTGCACGAGCCACTGGAAAATGAAAGATGTGTGTGGAGGAAAATGAGTTCCAAGTTCCAACCATGATTTATAGTTGGAGAAGAGTGTCTAGCACACTTCATGATGCCAAAACCTACGTTACAAGCAGGTGTGTTTTCACAATACGTGATTTAAAAGAAAACATAATACGTATTTAAGATTTATCATTTTTGGGGTTTTTGCTTCTTTCATTCGAAGCTCCTCTTTTCGAGCCTTTTGAACGATCCCGATTTATTTGTCAGAATCCCAACCAGTAGACCATTGGGATAAAAGGGCTTGTTTAAGTAGCGGGTCAGTGCGCTCATAACCCCCCAGGCCAACGTGCCTGTAACCCTTCCTTAGGATCAATCGGGGATCACCGGTGGACCTCTGACATCCCCCCGCACTGGGATGCCCGGAGTGCATACACCGGGATTCGAACCCGAGACCTTCGCTCTGATACCATGTCAGAATCCCAACCACTAGACCATTGGGATAAAAGAGCTTATTTAAGTAGCGGGTCAGTGCGCCCATAACCCCCCAGGCCAACGTGCCTGTAACCCTTCCCTAGGATCAATCGGGGATCACCAGTGGACCTCTGACATCATTCATATATTTTATAGGACTAGAGGTCGTATGTGCGTGCCCGTTTGATCACTTGATTGTTTGTGTGTTCATGTTTGTGTGTTCTTGAATAACCGACATATTATGTAGCGCTCCTAAGGCACGGCAGTAACGTATTACCTCATAGAGAATGCGCTCTCCCACTATCGTGTTGCACTCATATAACATGTTGGGATGTTTCGTGTGAAGAAATGAGGAATGAATAATGAACTAGGAAATGAGTTGGGTACAAATATGAAACCCTAGAAAGCTGTACCCCATACTGTCTACCTCACTACAGCCTAGAAAGATTAAAGCATATAAGTTTGACACACCCCCATAAGCAAAGTGGAGGAGAACAAGGGGTCACAAGACTAGTCAGGCAAAGCACAACAACCTCAGGGTGGATCCCAACGTCACTACACATTCTGAGCACAAGTTCAAGGGCCACAAGGCCAGTTCACATGCAAGCATATATATATAAAACTAAACATGCAAGTGCAAGTATATATAGGTCACAGTACAAGCAAGGTCAAGAAGTGAGCAAGTGAGGCAAAGTATGTACAAGACCTAACAAAGTACAGAAGCGCTGATGATCAGTGCCTTGGTGAAGATATCAGCAGTGTTGGCCTGAGAGGCCACGTAAGCAAGTCGTAGCTGACCACGCTGCTGTAGCTCACGAGCAAGGAAGTAGCGAAGAGCAATGTGCTTCGTTCTGTGCTCCAGTCTGTGCTCCCGACACAAGGCCAGCATGGCCTTGTTGTCTACGTACAGAACTGGAGGAGAACGAGGCGGCTCTCCGAGGTCAGTCAGCAGGTAGGTGAGCCAGCGTAACTACTGTGCAACCATGGCCCTCGCGTAGATCTCAGCCTCACAGCTGGAGCTGAGAACAGAAGAAGAGCGGGTAGACCGCCACGAAACAGAACCGGAACCAAGGCTGAAGGTGTAACCCTGTGACGACCGCTGCGTAGCCAAGTCGTCAACTCAAGACGCGTCTGCGTGACCAGCGAGGACCAGTGGACTACGCCCTCCAAGCACTAGCCCCATGCCCGATGTACTGCACAAGTAGCGCAACACCCT